AGAGAACCCCCGGGTACCTCCGGTGTGGTCACCAGGCTGCCGGCGAGCAGGCTGAGGCTGGCAGGCAGGTACTGGCGACCTTCCCTCCTCACACTTCAGCAGACACCTTCTCTGGATGCCCTGGAAGCTCCCTGAGGGCTGGGCAAAGCAGGCAGTACGGGAATTTAGCTGTAAAAGCACTGCAGGACAGTGCAGGCACTGCTGGTTTACAGAGCTATGCTGACTCACCCCAGCCCCACTCTGGAGAAAGAAATAAGGGAGGAAACAGCAGAAAAAAACCCAGAGATTTCCCTCTGATTCCAGCCTATGCCTCACCACATGGTTTCCCATGGACTGCATGCCCAGTTCAAACTAGAAAGGATCAGGTCTTAACTCTTTATTACAGACACTCACTGTTAGTGCAGTGAATTTCACATGAACAGATAATGTCAGCACAGCTTTCTAAAAGACACACGAGACAGCTTCTCTCTGAGAAAGGGGAAAAAAAAGACTGAGGCAAATTACGAGAAGCCTGCCAAATCTCCTGCGAGTTCTTTCTTTAGCAAAGTCACCAGAAAATGCTTAAGTAGTATTGAAGGAAATGGACTACGATGGATACCATTTCCCAGTGGAGTCATGAGATCTAAGAAAATAAACAAGTTGAGGGCTGCAAGACAAGATCTTATTTCCAAGCACTGACGCTAGATGGAGTAAAACTGAACAAAAGATTAACAGCAGTGAAGAAAAGAGAAAGGATGAAAACGTCCTGCATTTCCCCAGCTGCTAATGTGTTGCTTCTTTGAATGCTCATCTTTGATTACTGCTGGGAAAGTCACAATTAATATTTCACTCCCTATACTTTGCAGGTCAAACATGGGATCCAGCCAAAACAGGTATGTTCCAGGGGAAGAGGGAGTCCAGTGGAGCAGGGAGATGGAGTGACAGTACTAGGCAGACAAATAGAAGTTGTAAAGGCGCATCCACCTAGATAAAGGGAAAAGCTGTACAGCAACAAAGGCTGTGGGGTTACCCTGAGTTCCTACCGACAGCCCAGATCTGCCTGCAGGTCTGCCAAACACTCTGCATGGCTGCAGGCAAGTCATTTAATGGCCTTGTCCTCCAACTTCCCAGTTGTGTACCTGGAATACCCTAACATGAGGCCCAGGCATGCTGCAAGGCTGTCTGCGTTCCGGCACAACTATGCTGCAATGCAGCTGCCCCCCATCAGCACGTACTCCGAGCAGTAAGCTCATGGAAAGATGCAGCCACAATATGGATCCAGGAGCTGCTCAGCTGCTCCCCACTCACATGATGAGACAATACTGGGAAACAGCCCAAATGACGATCATCCAGAGCCTATAACCCTGCCAGCAGTTCTCATAGCAGGATGCTGCCCTAAAATGCATTGCTTGATGCTAGTGGATTCCTACCTGGCGGTGAAGAAGGCATCTGGACATCACCACAACAGCTAGAATCATACACTTGTTCTGTTAATTCACTTAGGAAAAACAGATACCTCCAAAGATACGAAGAAACACCTAGGAAAATACAAGTTAAGTAGGAGGAACTTCATGAATGTAATTCCAGCAGCCCCATTAATGATTTTCTAGAATTCCTGTATTTTTTATGTGGGAATCTCCCACTTCAGCTTTTATAATGATGCTATGGATCATTCCAGGTAAAACTAAAGCCAGAAAGTTATTGTTAACCTGTGATGTTTTTTCTTTTCAGAGATGACATCAATGTACTAGGAAAACAAAGTACAAATGATCAATAATCCTTTTGCAATCAACAGTTACCTGGTCTGAGGATCAATAGAAGTCTCTTGTGCACAGGCAGGAATCTCACCAATACTGATTCCTTTCTTTGTTCTTTAATTGAAAGACTGATTGATTGATTACAGGAAGAGCTTATAGTGCATGCTAACTTCAATCACCTGCACACAAAAAGCCTTCAATCCCCAACAGCATGTATATGAAAGAAATGTATGAGGAAAATAAAATAGGTAAAATAGATGAGCTCTGTTCATGAATAGATTCTGTTTAGTCTGCGATAGGTATATGTTTGATTTCTAAAATCAATTAAATATAGGTTAATCAAAATACATCATTTAAGCATGCATTTAAAATGAAAAATTCCTTTTTGAAATAATGGTTTTGATGTTTTGTTTTTAGAACGTTGAAATGAAAACATTTTTGTATACTCAAAAAGTTTTGGACACCTGAAACAAAGCATTTCATGTCAACATTCTACAAAAAAAGCTAATTTCCAAAATCTGCCTATCCCTAAAAAAAATTTTTAAAACAATGCACTAAGCTCAATCAGAATTTGTGAATAATTTCAGTCTCCCAGCCCCTTCATTCTTGTTCTAGCCTTATATATCCTGTTGAATTCGATTTCATCAGAATTGCTTTGTCTGGCTCCAACTACAAGCTTCTTACAGTGGGAGTGACAAGAAGAAAAAAGTAGAGCTTTGTCTCAGAACATTTACGATAGTTTAAATAATTTTAAATGGTTTAAACCCAAGTTACTTTGTAAACACATGTCAACTTCTACCAAAGCTGTGAGTCTGTGGCTTTAGTCTCAGTTCAGAAAATAATGCTGTAGATTTTATTCTGTTTAATCGACTTCTTTCAAGAATGCTGTATTATAACAGACGTTGTCATCACAAGGTGCAGGAAAAGCAGGAAGATTTTTGTATTTCAAGCCTGGCTTTCCTTTCAGCTTGTGAAGACAGGGCAGCAAACGTCGGCTGCGGGAGCTCTGGGAGCACTTGGCTATCAGCAGTGCCACGCTGGGCATCCTCTGCTATTCCTGCAGCTCCCCTCAGGAAACCCAGCAGGACTCAGAGGCTTGAGAACCTCAGGTAGATGGCACGCACAACGTTAAGTAATGTCACGATATTTCACAGGCATAGCTGTTATGTCATAGCATTACAGCATGACTCCAGGCAGGGTGCTATGCGATTTTATTGCAACTTACAAATAACCACTATCCAGATCCAAAGACCGCAAAGTGTAAATAGATTGGATCTTCCTAGACTTTTCGCTCAGGCCAATTTCTGTAGACACAAGGATTTTTTTAATCTCTCATCTAACGTACATTCCTGGAGTTAACTTTTTAACTAGTGTCTGATCTCAGTTATGCCATGTGGCAGATCATAATAAATAAAGTTCTTTCCAGTTCTTCATTACTGTAATATAACAGAAGTTCTCCAACTCAAAAAAAAAAAAAAAAGAAAAAAGAAAAAGGCAAATGTTAGACTGAAGTCCAACCTAGGAATTCTGTGTATTATTAAGAAGTATCATACTAAAAATAATGGAAACCAGGGCCTCCCATCCAATAATCAACTTTCAGACTGTGAAAAGCTGCAATTAACCCCGCACATTAAAGGCAGAGCTGATGTGCTAAGTCAAGGACTTAGAGTCAACACACTGTCAGAGCATAAGAGTAGATATATCAGAGTGTTGTTTCTATGAAGAATAAGCTACTGCACTACTTGTAACTGTAACTGAAAGGATTGGAATACATTTTTGTTCCGACCTTAGCAAAGCAGGTAATTTTCCAAATGTGCAAAGGAAACCGGATGGCAATTTTTCCACACATTTTGAACATCAAAATGTGAGGTTTATTTTTACAGAAAATTGATATATTGGAATATTTTCCCCGGATTCTTAAGTGTCTGTTACCCAGTTCAGTAACACTGCAGTTCATTAGCTGCATTTGCTAACAGAAAACTAAAGCAGTAATGTAATACTTGTAAGTAATTGTGTGTGTGTGTGTGTACACGTGTAAGTGAATAAACCATCTTGTAAGGTATCTGTTCATTGATTTGCTTCCTTTAGTACCATTTTAATTAAGACTTGGAACAGAAGAGAGCATGTGGTCAGGGAGGGAAGCTATTACATTCCCTTATTTGTGTGAACAAATGTTTCTTTCACATCATTTCAGTACACTATGGGAAATAAAGATGAAAATAAACAAAAAATGGTAAGTTACAAGCAGTAGAGGAGGAATTAAGCTCAGTAATCTTGATCAGGCAAATGCGCTGGGGTGGTGAATAGATTATGAGTTCCTGAAACCTTTTGGTGTGTGCCTTGGCTCCCTGGGTATGGGAAAAGGGTGGGCAGCCCTGAGACAGACAGCTGGGGACAAGGGACCCCCAGAGCTGCTCCTTCTGCTGCTAATGAGAGGTTTGGGCACACTTAGTAAGTGCCACTGCTGCACGGGGCTGCCGTGGCAGCAGCAATCAGTCCCCCATAAAGCCTAATTCTCCCACCCCACAGCTGCAGCAGCCAGCCGGTCTCTGTACAGACAAATGACGCTGCTGCAACTGTTTTGCCACCCCAAGGAGTTGCTGGTTTTGCCCACTCCCACAATCAGCTTTTCCAGCTCCGCTTGCAGCATCAGCAGCTCCTGAATTCGGGCCAAGCGGCACAGCACTGCATGGAAATAATCAGTGAAGGAACAGTAGATGAAAGGGGAGCATTTTGGAGGCATTCAGTCAAAAGACAAAAGACACCGCTAGCTCCACTAATTCTGGATCAAAGATGCAGCTGAGGTAGCCCACAACCAGCACAACAGGCATCTGCGCTCGCCTATTTGCCTGTCCAGCACAGGTTACGCCTGCCCCTGCTGAGTGCCCCGAGCTCTCCCTGAGCTCGCTGACATTCTCCTGGATGGATAACAGTGGGAAGGACTTCGGAGTTGGGGTTTGGATACATGCCCCAGTTATGTCATGCTGGACCTGCAGTGTCCTCATGGCAGATGCACAGCAACATAACGATGCTTGTGAATGGAGTTATTCAGAAGTGGAGACAGTTGTAGACACAAGAAGTGAGCTCAGAGGTACATACACAGCATGCATTTCTAAAGAGATAATGATGCAGGATTGGCTTTAGTTACAATGCATGTGCCACAGCAACAGTGGGATCATTCAGGTCGAATCCTGCTGTCAGCTGCATCAGTGCAAATCGAGACTAACTGCAGGAGTCACACAGTTTGGCGCAGTGCTCGCTCACATGGTAATAAATCAGGCGGAAATCCACTGGACTCAGTACAACGGCATGGGAAGAAAAGAAGTGCGGGTAAATCAGACCTCACTGATATAAATCTGCTCTGAGCAGTGTGAGGAAGAGTCGCGTCTGATTCACCTCCTCCCAAACAGAAAGGATGACAAACATCATAATAGTCAAAACAGTTGCAACTTGAATCTTTCTTGGCCTCTCTCATGCCCATAAGTGAAAAATCAGATCATTTTGGTCAAGAGTATTTCTTCTGTTTCTTATAACTGCACTTAATCAAATACAGAAGACTATTGAAAATGCTTTGAATCACCAACCAAATATGGAAAAACACAAGTAAAGGAAAGTACTTACCTAGCAAACCTGATAAAGAAAGGCTGTTTATACTATATAAATAGGACCTATAGAGGCTTCAAACTTCTCAAAATCACACTCATTACACACAGGGAATATTAAAATAGCCAGCCTAGGTCTGAATGAAGTCTGTCTTTTCCAATAGCCTCTTTGCCACAGTGGCTGACAGCAAACATCTAGATGAAGTCTAAGCATTGCAAGCAAGTGCCAGTGCTCTCCTAGAAGAACCTACCACCCTACAGCAAACCTCTGCTTAGCGTCACTGAGCCGAAAGTGGTCCTGTTGAATTTAATATCTTCTGATGTACTTTTCTTCCATAGTCAGAAGTGGTTGATTCCATAGATACTATATATTTATACATTAAAAAATCACAAAGGCCTTTGCCCTCCCTGTCACTACATCAGTGAATTTTCATGGTCACTACTAACACAGCATGAAAGCAACTCACATACTCCTAAGAAGGCATGTCCACTCTTTACAGAGAGGGGAAATTAGACATGGAGCAGCCCAAGTGCTGCGCCAAAGGCCAATGCAGGATCAGCAAAGCAGAGAATACAGACAATGCTTTCCAAGTTCAATGTGGGTGAGCTAATTATTAGACCTTCACTATTCTTTATCGCTGCCTCCAACAAAAATGCTGGTTTTGGAATGGTGAGGTATTAAGTATTTCACCTTATTGAATATATGTGGTCTCGATTCTCATATTTCAGGCTTTAAGCCCTAGAAGAACCCTATGCTTTCACTCACAACTGCATCAAACAGGAGCCTCAGCAAAGTCAGGGACGTTACACTGGGGTTAAACACTGTGTGGTTTAATAACAAGCTCAAATGCTTCACAAGCAAACTGGCAGAGTGCACACATTCTGTCTTCTGCATTCAGTGAAAAAATGTGTTGTCCCTGCCCCGTAATCCACGTAGTGCTCACAGCAGGCTGGTGATGTTTCATTTGCATCCCTCACACCACTGCTGATGGTGGTCTGTCCTGATGCAGACAATCCACAAGGCCTTTCCTTTCCAGATCAGATTCTACTCAGCACTATCAGAAATCATTCTGACTCAATGGGCAATTAAAATAATTACTTTTAATCATATTCTTCAATTACTCCACAGTACTGAGGGAGGATTCTCAGAGCTGGGACCAGATGCAAACATATTCTGTTGTGATTAAAACTGGTTGAAATGCTTGAATGAATATAAAACACTGACTATTCACCCCTTTTGGGAACAACCCCAGTGTGTTTTAAGCTGCTAGATATTTAAACTCATTACAGTGACACCAGGGAAGAAACGGAAACCTGTGGTGAATGCACAAGGGCTCGTGCAGGGACCCCTTCAGAGGAGCTGCCACCTTGAAACGCATACAAAACACAAAACAGCTACTTAGAAGAAAGGAGTGCTGTGTATTCGCAGGATGAGCAGTTCTAACAGCAACTGGCAAAGCAACCGTAAAGACTGGGCGGGCTGGTTGGTGAATCTGCCCCTCACACATTGGGTATCTCCGACAGCTCTGGGACCTTGCTATTCCAGCCCAGGTGCCTCTTTGGGAGGCTATTGGCATCTTTTTGTCCTGAGGGAGGGCTCCTGGCCTCAGGTCTCAAAGGCTACAGGTACCTGGCTGTTTCCTTTGGGACTGTCCCTGCTGGAGGCTTCTGCTCCTTCCTGCCACAGGGATGCAGTGCCCAAAGTAGAGCTAGAGAGGGTCTGAGGGATTCTGGTGTGAGGAGATGACTGGATGCATGTGGTATGAGACTGGGGACAGTGGCAGGTTAGCATGGACTTGGCTGGGGATGCCTGGGAAATTGCTTTTTCAGATAAGCAAACTGGTGATGTAAAGGAGAACTAAATATAAGAGAGAACTAATTGATATTATGAAGGGGGAAAAAGGCAAGAAAGGCACAGGAAAAGGCAGGCTATGTGAACTTACAATTACCTCAAATCACTGCTTTAGCAGAGTCGGGGACAACAGAAAAAGCAGAGTGCTGCCAACAGTCATTATTTAACATGAAGTTTTGCACTGATACTCTACTTGAGACACTAGGTCTTCAGATCACATGGCTGTGGTAACCCCCACTTTAATTGAAAATGTACATTGCTCTGGAGGCTGTAGAGAATGGTTCGAAGGTCTGATCTCTGCTACATCATAAAGACTCAGAAACTGTGAGATCAATAGTACTAATTAAAAAAATCCCCAAATCTCTAAACTGTCAGGATTATTTTGAGCGTGCTTATGGATTTTTGAATTCTCAGGGTTATGAACACAAGCTTAGTCAACAACAGGCCGATACCTGTTAGACTTCCCTGCATCTCCTCTCAAAATTACTCCAAGATGTAGTGCAGGAAAAGCCCACTGCGTGTTGCTGGGAACTCACATGCAAACAATTTCCACTAGAGATTGGCAGAGGTGAGTTAGAGGTGTAGAGTAAATGAGAAGTATGCAGTGGCGTTTCATAGAATTTAAATGTAAATATCATTTATATCCAACTACTAGGAAGTGCCAATAGTAATGAGTTTTCCCATCTCTGTTCCTTGTCCCCCCGCTATATTGAGACCTCTCTTACACTTACCCAACAGGATCACTGCCTTAGTCCTGCATCCCTGCATACAACTGATTCCTACAGTCGGTTCCCCTCGATACTATCATCTGGACACCAATGCAGCACATTCATAAATAATGAAGACACTCAGATCAGATATTCATAAGAGGAAGAGCAAAAGACCTTATTTGGCACCTCATCCCCAGCCTGTGCCCACATGGAGCAGCGTGCAGCTTGGGGCACCAGCACACATCCCACCCTTGGCTTTTCTCTGCTCATTGTTGGAGCTTGAAGCTTGGGCCACAACAGCACTACGGCCCGGCAACATGCACTAACATTGAGCAGTCTCAGTGTACGTGCTAAAGCCTTCTCCTAAAGGAGTGTAGACTTGTGCAGTGTAGACCCTTAGGTACACTGCATTGAAGGGCTTACACACATTTTGCATTCAGAGTCATGCACAGCTACAACTGATTTTAATTTCTCCATTGAGTTTAACAGGAACAAGATGAAGCTGTGACTGGACCTTCTATGTGAGCCATAAATGCCTTCCCAGCATGACTAAGGAAAAATAAAAAATTAATCTCACGTCCTTGATTAGTCAGTAAGTAGAAACCAGTCATTGGCCTAGAAGCACGTGGTTTTTCATGCATCCTTCTTGGGGAGGTGATGCAATTGATCTGAAACGGGCCAAGGCGTAGAGCATGCGAGGCAAAGGAGCAAAGGGTGGCTGTGATTGCTGCATGGCTCCTCCGCAGCAGGAGCCAGGAAACCACACACGGGTCAGGGTGCATCCAAGCCGTACCAAGCCTCAAACCAAGTAACAGCTGCTCGTTCTCTGCTCCCAAGCCTTCCTACTGACTTATTTATTATCTCCTCCTGCATAATTTGTCATAATCTCTGACTCGTCAGGCCAATTAATCATGCTTCAGAAAAAATGAGATTTCTCACAAGGAGATTATCTGTCTCTGACAAACAAGGGATAATTCAATTAGCTTCCTTTTCTAAACATTTATTAACTGGTTTTGGTAAATTAGTCCTTTTTGTAATTTAGCTATAATTTAGGAAGATTTAATATGTCATTAGGCACACCGAATTCTGTGTTAATATAACATTATGGCTGAGATTTTAATTGCCCCAGAGTCAGGAACTGTATACATAAATGGCTTGATTCCCACATGGAAGTGGCTGATAGGAAGTACACAGAGCTCCACAGAAATCCTCGTTAAAATCCCTTCTTCCATGAGTTAAGCACATGCTTAAGGACTCTGGAGAATAGGACGCTTTCTCTCGCTTGGGTAAGAACTCTAAAAATCCAGTGAGAAAAAGAAATATTTACATACTTATTTGCAGAATTTCTACATACTACAAAAATTTATAGTATACGTGGATTTAACTCTCCTCACAGTTCTCAAAGTTCCTATTTTCCATACTGCAATTTCCTGGGAAAATCCTAGTTTCTAACAGCAGTATCTGACTGTGGCCTGTCAGATGAGAATTTCTTCTCTGTTTCATTCTGGATTATGCCTTTTAGTCCTTTTGGACACTGCTAGTTGATACTAATGTAATGGCATTAAAGAAGTCAATCCAACTTCATACTGAGAGTAAAAATCAACCTCTTTCATGCTGGGCGGAAATCAAGAGAAAATCAAAGCAATTGAGTTGTGTGGATGTTAAAAGGCATAAGAGGAGAAGCAGATCCAGTTTTAAAGCAACGTTAATTACTTTACCATAGCAGGGCCATATAGACTTTGCGGAGACTAAAAGTGAAAAGCCAGTTTACGCGGACTAATCCCTGCATACTGGTGGCCGCAGCCTGACTGCAGCATGGATTCAGAGCATCATAACTGGTCACTGGAACAGCTGAACTCCAGGTATTTCCCAGAACGGAACACTCGGTGATAACCTGCCCATAGCAGATCCTTTCAGACTTCGTGTTTGGCAGCATGGATCCACCATAAACTGCTGGGATTTGGGGAATCCTTTCTTTCAGAGAATTTTGGAGCTCAGGCCAAGTCAGCCTCCTCCCACCAATGTTTGAATAGATTGGCCAGTTTCTATCAGAACTTGACAGATGGGGAGAAGCCTCCAAGACAGTTACATTCCAGTATGCTTCATGAAGATAAGCAGCTAGAAAAAGACCTTATTAGTCCTCTCTATAGTGTGGAAACTAGTGCC